AAAGATGAAGAGGGTATCCTAGCCAATTTGGTATGGTACCTCCATCACTCTACAGCCCATGCCTGCCCTGCCATAGTGTTGGGCCTGCTTAGGAACTACTGTGTTTGGCAAAAACAACGCCGCTTCGTCCAAGACCTTTTGCGTAGCTGCGATTATTGTCAACGGGTTGCAAGAGATAGGATTCGTGATTACTGTGGTGTCCGGCAAATCCACACTATCCCGTGGTATCGAGTTGGTTTGGATGTATACGGCCCCGTTTATAAGGCAGCTCGTTATGATAAGCAAGGCAGAGCGCCCTATAACTACGTTTTGAGCTATACTTGTTATTATACCAATAAGACTATTCTCCGCCCTCTACATCATTGCTCGGGGAGTGAGATTGCTATGGTGCATAAACAGGTGGTTGCTGACTTTGGTCGCATGCCTTATCTCTCGGTCGACTGCGGTTCGGAGTTTATGAACCAAGATTTCCTCAGTGTGACTGTCGAAGAAGGTATTGAAGTCTGTTATGATTCTCCTAATTCTCCATGGAGCCGCGCCCCAGTTGAAAGAAGGCACTCTGTGATATCCAAGTTATTGAGGGTCTTGGCAATATCTGGTCGATCTAGTGAGTGGCATCACCACCTTGATGAGGCTACCTTGGCTATCAACAGCTCCTCGCTACTACGTGGAGAGCCGTTGCTTACTCCTGACATGCTCTTCTTTTCATATCGTCCCTGTTCATCTCTCTCTTTATGGTTCTCTCCATTTAATGATGGTGCTAGATCTATCAATCTACAAGAGCAGTTGAAGCTACGGCTCATTTATGATGCACAATGGATGAAGAACCGAGAGACTGACCGACTTGATGTTGACAAGAGAGGGCATGTGCCGAGGCTGCGCCCCGAAGTTGGTGATGAAGTCCTGGTTTGGGTTGATTCTACCGGTGACAAATTCAAGTATTCGTGGCGTGGACCCTACACTGTAATGGACTACACTGATAAAGGTCAAGTTGTCCTTGAAGGATTGAAGCGTCCTCAAGCTATATCTAATGTGAAGGTTTACCACAGAAATAAGACTATTGATGGCAGCTTGACTAATAATATGGGTGATGCCCTCCCTAAGGAGCTTCGTAGACTCGATGGTGTTACTCAGAACGATTTTTTGATGACTAATGGTTCGTTGTATCAGGTTGTTTCAGTTAACCATCATGAAGCTATCCTAAAAGCGGTAAAGGTGACCATTGAAGATTCAGTTTTAATTTATAGTGATGAAGTCTGTGAATTCGATATGATATGTACTGATACTCTTCTAGTCCCAGGGATTAGAGTGACTAATGGGACTGTGAGTCTTTCGAGGATGGCTCGACGGATGTTGAATGATTCCATATTGCAGTAGTGCAACTTGGTTTACTTTTATTTTCTTACAGAGCTTGAAGAAGGGGGCATGTGAGGTGTTGTCTCCGGGCAGGAGATCCCCTGTGATAGTACACAAAGCTGATGCTATTCAGCTGTCCCTCTAGCGCCCCCACGCTATAGGTCTGTAGAGCTTTATACTACTAAGTTTATGGTTCAAGTTTGTATTTCCATTTATCCCTTATGTCGTTGAGTTCTAGAGGTCATGATTCCGGCGCTACAGCTGACAGGCGTAGTAAACACAACAGCCACTTAGTTTAGAGCAGGGTTGAGTTTTCAGTCACTCAGTTGAGTGGTGTCCTTTTACGAGGGAGTTGGGTGAGACCGCGCCTGGCAGTGCATTAGCATCTGAAGGCATTACCTTCGGGCAACGAGCTGGTGACTTTGGTAGCTCAGCTACAATGCCTCTTTGGGCTAGCCGTTACCAGCCTCCCCCGTGGGAAGGTTAAAAAAATTGGTGGAAACAAACCGTGCCTACAACCAATACATTAATAACGTGTAGTAGACAAAGACAGAATGACTTCACATCTTAGATTCTAGCTTGATGTACTCAGTCAGGACGTACTCACTCTGGTTCATAGCGTCACATAGACCAGCCTGGTCTGACCAGGGGGACAGGATAGTTGTGCCGAAAGAGTGCTTCGTACTCCCGTAATTGTGGTGCTCCACTGAGACGCTTTTTACGTCTGTTAATGGATTAACTCCGCTAATACGACCACCACTTGCCACCAGATGGCCAGTGACTGGTGACATTTTGCCATAAACGCTATCATCGTGATTATGTTGTGGTGACACTCTTCACAAGGGAGTGTTTCCTGTTCTCTGTGTACAGTGTCTGGTACTTTGTGATCGTGCATAGAGAGAATGGCTTTCCGTGTACTTAGGACAACGAGTAGTGGGTAAGATGTGCTCAATACAGAATTGATACGCCTTGTCGGCACAGTGAGGTAGCGATGGGAGGTGGTTCACAGAGATTATAGGAGACATAAATTCGTGTAGTATCACCATGAGCGGTTCACCAATTATGCCGCGGGTGTGTTTCCTAAAAATAAGTTCACAATAGTCGTCGAGAAAGGTCAACGACGGACAGACTGTCTTATGTAGGAATAGGATTGAACTGACTCGTAGCGCACGCCCGGAGCTAGTGAACTGAAGCAGGAACAGTGCTTTGCGATATCTTCTCGCCCCTTACTGCTCGATCTTTCGTCATG